CGCCACACTCCCCGCGCGCGCCGTGCCGTGCTCACGAAAACGCCGTCGCGCGAAACTCCGCGGTAACGCCGCCGCCGCCGCCGCGCCTATACATCCGCCGCGGCAATCGCGAACGTCGACGCGTGTCCCCGGTCCACTCCGGAGCGGACCGGAGGATCGGCCCCGATTCTCGCGCTCGTAAACAATGGCCACACGCACACACATACGCACACGGGGTCCGCCGGCACGTATAAACGCGCGCCCGCCGCCCCCGTGTCGACGTTACCCGTGATCCCGGCCTCCTCACGCGAGTCGATTGCCGCGCGCACCTGATCGCCGATCGGGAACCGATCAACCGGGGGGGGTGACGGTCCGGCTTTATTTCCACGAGATGACACACGCGCGCACGCGAAAGAGACAGACAGAAGGCGAGAGAGAGAGAGAGAGAGAGAGGAGAGAAAGAGAGTGCCCAGGGGACACTTTTTTTTTCCACGCGCGCCGGGGGAAGTACGCGGCTGTACTTACCTGCGTGCCGAAAAGCGCGTAATAAGTGCGCACACCACCGTGCTCCACGGTGTCCGCAACACCTCCGGAGCGTTACGCGCGCGGGGCGTGTGTAACCCGCGCCACGTGACGCGACGACGAGATTTTACGCGATCCGTGCGATTAGGTCGACGGACACGTAATCGCGTCGAGGAGGAAGATTGCGCGGCGCGGAAGGAACGATCCGTCCGGGATGTGCGCGCGAGAAAGATGGCCACCCTAACCTCCAACGAACCTCGCACGGCCGCGACGACTGTGCGAATACCAGCGTGAATACGTCGGCAGCCGCCGCGACGGCGGCGGCGGCTGCGGCGGCGCGTCGAAGGAACCGGTGTCGCTCTGTGTGCGTGCGCGCCTTTACGTATGTATGTATGTATGTATGTATGCAAGCGCGCCGTGCCGCTTGCGCGCGCGCTAGCACGATCGCACGATGCGTGTGTGCTCCGCCGCCGCCGCCGCCGTCGTCGTCATGTATGCCGGCGCGGTTCTCTACCTCAGCCGCTGCTTTCGGCCGGCTGTTTCCGACTCGCGAGCGCGTTCATCCTCCTCGCGCGGACCGCGATATTATTTACCGGGATGTCGCATCGATATACTCGCGTGTATCGCCCGGCGATGCTTCGAGATCGTTCCGTCGATCGCGTCCGACGCGCTCACGCACACACACACACACACACACACACACACACACACACACACATACATACACACACAGGCGCGGCGATGCTCCTTCGGACCGCGCGCGCCTGCCTGTGCTCCGCTCGCGATTCGCTCTGGCCCCGACGAGCGAACGCTCGGCGGAGTCGAAACGAGGGATCCTCCGGCGCGCAGGAGAATCCCTGCGGGACGCGGCGCGATCGGAACGCGAATCGGGTGGACCAGCGCGTGGACGCGTGTGACGAACTTACCGAACTTTGCCGGGGAAACGCCGTGTCTTCGTGCTTGCCTCGCTCTCGTCTTTCACGCGCGCCAATACCGCCACCACCGCCACCACCACCACCACCACCGTCGCCGCGGTGTTCGTTCTCTCGTCGTCGTCGTCTGCTTTCACGCGCGTGTCGTCTGCTCTCGCGAGCGCGCGCGCGTCGCTCTTTTCTCAACGGCGCCGAGACGTATGTATATATATGTACGCCGAAGCCGCGCGGTCACTTATCGGAAAAGTAACGCGACCGTCTTCCCTCGCGTCGCGCGGTCTCCCAACGGTCCAGACTCCGGAATGGTCTCCGCGGCGCGTTGCACACCACGGGCCAGTCGACGCGGCACGCGCGCGCTCGCTCTCTCTCTCTCTCTCTCTTTCTCGCTCCTACTCGCCAGCCGGAGAGGAATGGCGCGTTAACCCAGTCCGCGCCGCGGATCCGAAATGATTCCGATACGTACCTGTGGCGGGTGTGACGTGGCGCACCACCGACGTCCGGGTCCCGCACCTTGATCGCCGCGGGATCGTCTGCGCACGGTCCGACGGGAGCGCGTCGCCAATCGCGCCGATTTTCGACGGAAAATGAAACGGGGCACCACGCCGGCCGCGAGTGGACGGACCGCCAAGATGGCAACGCGCGACGGCGCGGCGGCAGGGCCGGATTAGAGTTCCTCTAGTCAGAGTTGAGACACGAGCGGTCCTCTTCGTGATTGGTGCCGCCATATTTCAGTTTGTCGATGTGTTAGTTAATGTAAGTGAATAGGTGAAATCAGTTTTTGTTGGTATAGAGTACTACAGACAACAGAGTTGTCATGGTTGTCACACAGAATTGACAGAATCAAATTATAGAATTTTACAAAAGTAGAAATTATTCTTCAATC